ACCCAGAAGTTATATTTAAACTAATAAATTATGTGCTGTGAAATTCATTCAATTGGTTTGAGAAAACTGTAGGAAACTCTAACAATGTTTTAATTGTTTCCATTGGATGTGTTTGTCTATAATGGAAAAGCTAAAGAACTCAAACCTTAATGTGTTTCCTTACTATGTGCTGGAAAACAATTTTGAAAGTTAAACACAAAGTTAGGAATACAATAGAGACACAGAGGTTGAGCTTTTGATTCAGAAAAGGGAATTCATGACATTCTAAAATTGTGACTCATTAAATTTGAAATTTCTTTCATCGCCCCTTTGTTTATAGGCCCAACAATACTACTATCTGGGGACATAATACGATCTTATATGATACTAAGTACTTAAAAATACAGAATATAAAATTATAATATTTTTACATAAATATTTGAGAGTTGTTTGAAAAAATGTAATTTTGAAATTCATTGTTGTAATTAGCACCACCTTAATGTGTGTCTTACTTTTGGGAATGATTCATAAATTATAATATTTAAATAAGGTTTCCACTGATATTTTTAGCAATTTTTATTTTAGATTGATTAGACTGAACTCTTTGGAATGGATTTACATTTCTATTTATTCATATACTATACATATGTTCCTTTTGTAAACAGTCAAATGAAGCAAGAATAGGTATTTCTGACATAAAGCTGACTGAGCCGAAAGTTAAAATGAAATTGATATGTTGAAATAAAACCGGTTCTATATTCATTTTTCTGCTTACTGGAAAGTTGGGATATCTGATACAATGTAGAGAATTAGTGATTACAGTTTCTGAAAAAGATGTAAACATCTTTTGATGTTGTTGTTACACAGAATTTTGGTACATGGAGCATTACAATTTGCAGTTAGTATTGGACAATGTGTGTCACATTAGATGTGTTAATTTCATGCAGGATGTAGTATTAGTATCATTACATTGCCTTCGTAAAGAATGTCACTCATTATTTCACTTAATGTTTATGCCCTGAAAACTCTGAAGACCCTGGTGGATGTTTTCATTAAGGTGACATCTAGGGACAGTTAATGAGAATGGCTTGAGAAAGTTGGTTTCCTTTTAGGTAATATGTGAAAAGTAAAAACCAGAGGAAAATAAGTTATTTATCTAAGTGACTGTTTGTTCAAGGGTTTAATTGTGGTTCTTATTGCAACTTACCTTAGACCTTTCCCTACGTGTTTACCAGGTTTCAAGAGACATTATTTATCTTTTAGCAGAATCTTTACATCCTGAAGTTTCATTTTGAAGATTATTTTCTGTTTTTATTTTATTTTATTTTCTGGTTTATCCACAGCCTTGCCGCCTTCCATGTAAAGTCTTGTATTCATTTATTCCTCCTTGAAATTAAATCTATCAAATTCTAGGCCATATGCTCTGGATAACTCATTTTGATGGGTGCTCAAAATTGTAAATGTTAACTACAATAGAAAAAGAAATTTTAACATGTGCAAGCAAATGTCCTCGAACATCAGCAGTAAAAAAATTCCCAACTAAAAACTCCTACCAAAGACAATTTGATCATAAACCTCTCAAGCAGAAAATTGGCAATCACTGTGGAAACAATTCCTCAGGAAGGTATTCAACTTTCAAATAACCCTGAAATAAAGCAACCCAATGACCTTTGCTTTCCAAAGATTAAACCTTACTCCTCCCTTCACATCAGGATCCTGTAGAAAGCAAGCCTTGGGCAAAACAGGAACAGAGTCACCAGGAGGTATGAGCCTTCTGTAACGCACAGAAGGTAAAAATATGTACTCCTTCTTTGCTGAACATTAAAGAGGATTCAATTAGTTCCAAAGCCTTTGGGAAATGGTACAGGTTTGAATGGTATAAGTTATATCAAGATCATAAAGACAGACACCAGGGTTCATTAAGCACTTGGTGAATTGAAGTATGCCCCTAGCTTTGTATACAATTCAACACAACTGGCCCTAGTCTGAAATCATTAGGAATATAATCAAGAAACAGTGGTGAATTTTTTTTGTGTGTCTTTCAGTTTACTTTTAAAGATTATCCTTAACATTTTAGACATTTGGTAGGTGTAGTATGTCCCTAAGCCTCTGCTCCTTTAACACCATATGCTTATGTCATATGCATACATTATATTTATGCATCAATATATATTCAGACTCCATTGTTTCTTCTTTTACTTTGACACAAATTCTAGATTATTACATTTGAATATATGTGTGTATATATATTTTTCAGCTGCTAATAACTTCTACAATAAATTTGAATTTGAATTTAGAAAGGCATTGGGAATTATAGAAAATGTATTGTGACATTTACCTTAAACCATCATGACAAAACTCCCTTCACCACAAGTCACTAAGATAACCATATCAGAACTGAAAAATTAAACATAACCTAAACATTTAAATGTGTCAATATACCTGCCCCATAATAAACACATCAGAAAACATATAAATGTATATTGTGGAGGGAAAATCCAAGTCCTTTTTTCTTACAATTATGATATACTCAATTATAAAATGTTGTTTACCTTGTTTGTCATTCCTAACCTACTGTTATCATGAAAAGGAGACTTTCAGATTACAGTGTTTCAAAGGCAACAACATGTAGGAAATTATACTAAGAACCAAAGACAACCACAAAAATTGAAATATACTTAAGAACTCAAAGCTATAGTATACATAGATGGACAAAAAGATCCATTCACCTCACAACTGTAAATCTCACCAGTTAGAGGGCAGAAAGGCAACAAGCAAATGTGGTGGGTGGAAGGAGCCACTGACCTAGGTTGGCGTTCTAGACCTCACAGTGCTTTCTGAACATGATTCTCTAGGAACCTCAGTTCATTCTTTCACAAAATAGGGAGGATGAACTAGACTACATCTCTTTCATCTCTACAGGTTTATAAATGTAAATGACTATGAGCTTTATTCTTCAGAAAACTTGTTTTTTTTTTTGTTTTTTTTTTGAGACAGAGTCTCTCTGTCGCCCATGCTGGAGTTCAGTGGTGCCATCTCGGCTCAGTGCAATCTCTGCCTCCAAGGTTGAAGCAATTCTCCTGCCTCAGTCTCCTGCCTCAGCCTCCGAGTAACTGGGATTACAGGCACCCATCCCCATGCCCAACTAATTTTTGTATTTTTAGTAGAGACGGGTTTCACCATGTTGGTCAGGCTGGTCTCGAACTCCTGACCTCAGGTGATCCACCAGCCTTGGCCTCCCAAAGTGCTGGGATTGCAGGCATGAGCCACTGTGCCCAGCCCAGAAAATATTTAAGATATGTATACTGGCTTGTTTGAGGAAACAGTATCATGTTATGTGAAAGAGATTTTTTTTTAAACTCCATTAAAAATGTGTAAAAAAGAAGTTAGCATTAGTGATTAAAGCGTGTTAGTTTCAATTATTCAAAAACTTTTATGTATGTATAATAATTTTTTAAAACCGTGAGCAATTTAGGAGCCACTGCATTTCAACCATAATTTAAAATATATTTTATTACTTTAAGTGTAAAAGTATTTATACTACTAATGCCTACTCAAGTACTAATATAAAATATAACATGTTTCATTTTTTTAAATTAGGCTATTGTATCTAGTTAGATATGTACTCTATCAATCCCAATTCACTCAAGAATTTGAACAAAATAGCATTAGACTGAAAATGGTAACCAAGAATGCATCTGCAGCAATAGAACGTATAAGGTGACAATAAATTTTCTAGAAAGCTGTGTAGGTTATAAAAGAACAGTTTCGTTGATTGATTAATCTGACTTTAGGTATGTTAGTATGCGATTCTCATGATAAAATGTTAGTGTGCAATTCAGGAACAGAAGTGGTTGCCAATTTGAAATATGTTTCTTATTGAAAAATCCACTGAACAGATGTTTGATCACCAATAAATCCTGTCATTTATATCATGTTTTTATTTTGGTCTGTTTGTGTTTATCCGAGGCAGGAGTAATAAGCCGATTGGCAGAATGTTAAGACACTTGGGTTCTGCTCTTGGCTTTACCTTTAATTATCTTGATGGCTCCGTGCAGTGGAGTGGGTTGCATTACAGGCTTTGACTTATGACTGTTAGACACTCCCAGTCTCTGAAATAGTATTTGTTTATGAAGAATATGTTGGAAAGCATAGGTAGCAGTATTATCTAGGGTGATTTCTTTCTACCAGTGAATATTCCTGATTTTCCTCCTGTCTGAATTTACCCTTTCCCAACATAACCATTTCTCCAGTCACTTCCGATTCTCAATTCTCTAGGACAATTTCACACTTAAACTGTGATTTCTTCTCTGAATCTTCCCACCTAATCAAACTTTAGTAGTTTCCTTTGGCTCCAGTTTCCTTATAATTCACATCTTTAATTCTTTTGTCTCCTATGTATTATATTTATATTTTTTCTTTGTTTTATTCCTCAATCTGAGATACACCAATATAGGAGTTGGAGTAACACAAATGTAAATGGACATCATATAGATTAGCAGAACATTTTCTTCCAGAACATATTTTTTTGTGTAAATGCTTAACTAAATAATGATATTTAGACTATGAGCATTACAAACTGGATGATATAATTATTAATTATAATTAATTAATTATATGTTTAATGTTCATAATTTAATTATTGTTCCCAATTTAATGACCATATTGTTTTGTCCCTAAATATGATGAAATAATTTTAAAAAATTAGAGAATTTCCTAAATTTTTAAAGTTATTTGTATGTTTCTGTGTGGCATAAGCTGATATTTTAGGCATTTGTATACTGACTGATTTTCTGGAAATAATTGCTAGTTTGTAATACAGTTTGTAATTGAAATAGGTATCTTTTCAATTTTAAGATTTTTCTTTATGTAATTTACTTGAAAATCCAAGTACCTAAGGGTGTGAGAGATTCAGAAGTATTGTGCTAAAGTGACACAATACTTCTACTACTATAGAGTAATGTATCAAATAAATGCCCTTGTAGGAAGAAATCAATTTACTTTACATTGTTTTCTTTCAGGTAGTCACCACTTTCAACCAATAGATGGAGAGACTTTTACAGTGTGATTTGAAGTGCACTGAGAGTGCCACCTCTCAAAAATTCTAAACCATGTGATTCTTGTATGTCATTAAGGAATGCTCCTATATTCAAAGGTGCGTAACCATAGAAGGGAGGTCTGCTATGTTTTTCAGTTATGAATTTATTGCAGTGAGCTCTTTGGAATTTTCAAATGTAGGAAAGAGTTCAGAACTACAATTTACATGATAAGACAAAAAATAAGAGAACATTTGAAAAGTGGTTACTAATCAGGGAGTTGCTGAGGGAGGCCAGCCCACCTACACAGGCACTGCAAATCGGATTTTGTAAAGCCAGAGGACAGCATGAGAATAAAGGAAACAACAATAACAACAAATGGCAATTGAAAAATGATACAGCTGAAATATGTGGGGGCTCTGTGTCTCATTTCAGAGTCTTTATAACTTAAACTTCATACCAATTTTTGTGAAAAATAATTACAGATCTAGATTTTTTCCCTTTCAAATCGGGTGGTAAACATTGCAGGACACATTTTGATATGCAAGAGTCAACTGAAAACTGATATTGCTTTTGGTGGAGGAAGATGAGACTCCAAGCTGCTTTTGCAGAAAGTCTACCCTTTCTTGCCTTAATTTCTGTGCACAAGTGGAAAGTTGTACATGCTTAGAAGAAGACTAAACTTTTAGATTGTCATAATGTAGCTACAAGTCTGACAGACTCATTCTGGATTTTGGGACGTTTGAATCTCCCTTTTTTATAGTAACTCTGTATTTCTGGCTTCTATTTAAAAGAGTAAGTTGGAACCAGCTCCTATGTAGCTTCTGTCAAAGGTGCAGTGATACTGGGAGGAAATTCTTATGCTTATATAACTTACATGACTCATACATATCCTTGGATCAGAAGACATCTTACAAAATATAACAACATTTTAGTGCAACATGAAACTACTTAGAATGAAATCAGTTTTGAAATCCATTATATCAGGCTAGATTGTGCTGAGATAATTTTAAAAACCTCCCAGTCTCAGACTAGTCAGATTTTATTTCTTATTCATGCTTTATGCCCATTATGAGTCTCCAATTCTCTGCATTATTCTAACCCTCGTACACAGGCTAAGAAATGGCTACCATACTGAACATGGTCATTGTACCGTGACAGAAAGAAAAGAAAGCTCTAGAGGACCTGCACAGGCAATTAAGTAACACAGAGCACTCACATTTAACAACCATTAACTAAAATATTCACATGGCTGGATGACCACAGTGAGCAAAGAAGTGCTGTCATCACTCATGTCTAGAATAAGAACTAAAAATATTCAGGGAGTGGAAATATAGTCACCAGAAATCTAAATTGCTTAAAACAAATATACATATATATTACATGGTCATTTAGGTCACATTTGCTATACGCATAATACTAAGAATATTTTTTACATGAATTAGAATCTACTATATATGATACACATGAGAATCTTATTTTAAATATCAAGAAAACTTTCAGTTTCGTTTTCCATATCCTGAGGTTTATTTCCTATCTAGTATGGTTCAGTGTGTAATCGATATGGTTTCCCTTTTGGCCATGACTGCCAGGAAACAAGATACATTTGAAACTCAATCATAGCAATTTTGTTGAGCTTTAGAATGGTAAGTTTTCTTATTTTGTTTTGCATTCCCTATTATATAATTTATATTTGTATTTCTAATATAAATATTTACTTTTTCTACTATTTGTTGTCAGAAGTGTGACATTTTTGTAGAATAAAAAGCACAAGCAAAAAAACCAATCCAAATGGAAACATAAAAGTTTTGAAAAACCCTTCTAAATAACTATGAAATAAATGAAGAAATCAAAACTAAACTCAGAACTATTAAGAAAGGAATGATAAAAACACAGCATAATACATACCAACATGTATACGAATAAAAAAAATTGCAGAAGAAAATATCATAGCATTAAGTGCATAGCATCGCAATTTCCTTTAACAATTGATAATAAATGGACAAAAATAAAAGAAAGGATAGATAATAATAAAATAAAAATATGTAAATATATGAAATACTAAATGCAAAAAAAGCTGGTTATTTGTAAAGATAAATATATCAAATATATCTTGAAATTCTAAAAAAAAAATATGGAAAAGCAAATGTGAAACACTGACACTGAGAAAAGGCAATGGAAACAAGGGGAAATAATATAATTAGAAGAGGATATTTAGGATAAATATTAGGCTAAACATTTGAAACAATAGAGAAGATGAATCTGTGCTAGAAAAATATGTCATGATAATTTGGCTCTACAGAAACCATAATTTCTTAATCTTAATAGTGTAAGTGCTCTTTATTTGTCCTGAACTTTTAAAGTCAATTCTAAAGTTAATAGAGCCCCACTATTATCTCTAGGATTTTATTCAGAATCCCTCTCACATGTTGTACAATTTTGATTTATCCCCATAAAGCATGAGAGCTATGTCAAGACTATTACCTGCCCATAGATCTGATGATATTAATACATGGGAATCTGGGGAAAAAGTAACAATTACACTTGTTTATTTAATCTTATTGGGTTGAGAGAAAATATGGTAATATTTATAACCAAAAGGATATTAGTAGTCAGAACCACAAAGAAATGCTTCTACAAATCAATATGAGCAAAGGGTATTAATAATTTATAAATAAATAAAGATATAAAATAAAAGATAATTCCTAACCATACTCATAACGATGGCATACAAATTAAAATACAGATACAGAATTCCTTATTGTTTTTCAAAATGTAAAATATTAAGTATATTGATGAGTAATTCAACTGTAAATCTCTTATGAAAAACAAAATATAAACATGAAGGGATTTTACTTTGTGCTTCCATTTCCAGGAATCTATACTACCAGAATAATCACACATGTTCAAATATGATCACTGAAGCATTGTTTGTAATATTGAATGATTGGAAAAATCCCGAATTCATCATCAACAAATAATTGATTAAATTCATCACAATTCATTTACCCCTCAAATTACTAGAATCATTTGAAAATAACAAGTAGGTAGATATACATGCATTAACACATAAAAATTTTTAAGAGAGTATAAAGAAAAAATGTCAAGTGCAAAAAAACACATAGAATAATACATATATTTTTAAATACATAGATATACATGAACATATATGCTTTGATATATTAAATGATGTATGTAGAAATCTATCCATCTATCTGCCTATTATATGTATATATGAAAACATATGCGTGTAAATATATGGTGGCATAAGTGCAAATATATGTTTCTAAAAATATATAAAGGAAATAAGACATCTTAAAATGTTCACAGTGGTTATTGCTGAGAAAGAAAATGAAAATGGAGACTGAGGACAGGGCAGGAAAAATTTTTCTATATATCTTTACCCTTTGGCTAAATCTTTTCAAAGCATATTTATGTAGCTTTTATTTAACTATTAAAATAAATGTTTTAAATATATATATTATTAATATATATTAACTATCCCCAACAATTTCAATTTTATTTTTTTAAATCCATAGATCGGCCGGGTGCGGTGGCTCACGCCTGTAATCTCAGGACTTTGGGAGGCCGAGGCGGGTGGATCATGTCAGGAGATGGAGACCATCCTGGCTAACATAGGGAAACCCCGTCTCTACTAAAAATACAAAAAATTAGCCGGGCATGGTGACAGGCGCCTGTAGTCCCAGCTACTCGGGAGGCTGAGGCAGGAGAATGGCATGAACCCGGGAGGCAGAGCTGGCAGTGAGCTGAGATTGTGCCACTGCACTGTAGCCTGGGTGACAGAGCAAGACTCCGTCTCAAAAAAATTAAAATAAAATAAAATAAGAATAAAATAAAATCCATAGATCAACAATCATTTGTAAACTACATTGCTCTTTTTAATAAATAGGTGAGAAACATACCGAGGCCCTGTAGCTTAACTCATAAGTCCCAGGGATGGTAACATTTGTCTCTCTTCCCCTAAGCCTTGAGGAGTTGAGCAGATAATTCAGTGTCCCTCTTCTCACCTGTTCCACCCAGAGGTGGTCTCTCATGAGTGTGCTAGAGCCAGGCAATCACCTTTACCACACTCTCTCTCACATGCACCACACACCCCAGAGTAGGACTCGCAGAATGATGTCACGCTAAGGATCATGGAGAATGTGTTTTGGGTTTGGGGATGGGGGCATTATGGTATATGCTGAAAGGAAACCCTCAAGCCTGTGCTCATACACCTCTAGCCCTACACCTCGACTCTTCCTTCTCATACCTGGCTGTCATTGCACCAGACCATTTTTGGCCACGAGACACCTTCCACACTTCAGTCCAGCTCACGGCAATTCACCTTGATGGAGCTTTTATTTATTTTTTTCTTATTTTTTAATTTGCCTTCTGAAGGACAAAATCTGCTTTTTCTGCCCATACATTGACCCATGGGTTCATTTAATTCAGGAGGGAAAGGGCTATTGTTAAATATCTTTCTGTGTTAACTTGCTGTTACATGTACCTCTTTGTTACCTGATACATCCTCTCACCATTTTGCTTTATCTGTGTCACTATCACTTTAGCAGAAATACAGTAGTCATTTGTGTTAGGAAGAAAGGGAAACATAGCTTCTTGTATATTAAGGTTTTTCTTTAGAATATATTTCAAAAGACAAATTCCTAGGCTTATATTTTTGGGGGTTGAGTTGTGGTCAACTTTTAATTTGGTAAATAAAAGTTTAGTTCTTATTTGATATTGCATGTTCCCTGAGAAATTCACCAGAAGTATGCTAACTTGAAAACAACATGCAAAAAGAAGGATTTTAGAGTACTCACTCTATTAAATAAGTTAGAATTTGAACATTTACTTCAATATACCAGTGTATGCAAACAAGATTTTTTAAACTACAAATATCAGAAAGAAGCGATATTAAAAACGACAAATTGTGGTGTAAAAATTCCATGTATGTGGAACTAAATATTTTAGAATCTAATAAGTTATGACCAAATATTCGATGTTTGGACACTTTCTCGTGGATCATGAATGTTCTTAATGGCATCTTGAATAGTGAAATCTTTCCAGAGTAATTTCAATTTGCTTTGCCAAGATCCATCAGAGGAATCACTATCTATGGCAGCTATTGCCTTAAAAATTATGTTTCTTAACTAATAAGGCATGAAAGTTAAAATGACTCCTTGATCCATGGGCTACAGAATGGGTGTTTGTTAGCAGAATGAAAATATTAATCTCACTGTGGTTTTGATTTGCATTTCTCTGATGGCTAGTGATGATGAGCATTTTTTCATGTGTCTGTTGGCTGTATGAATGTCTTCTTTTGAGAAATGTCTGTTCATATCCTTTGCCCACTTTTTGATGGGGTTGTTAGTTTTTTTCTTGTAAATTTGTTTGAGTTCTTTGTAGGTTCTGGATATTAGTCCTTTGTCAGATGAGTAGATTGCAAAAATTTTCTCCCATTCTGTAGGTTGCCTGTTCACTCTGATGGTAGTTTCTTTTGCTGTGCAGAAGCTCTTTAGTTTAATGAGATCCCATTTGTCAATTTTGGCTTTTGCTGCCGTTGCTTTTGGTGTTTTAGACATGAAGTCTTTGCCCATGCCTATGTCCTGAATGGTACTACCTAGGTTTTCCTCTAGGATTTTTATGGTATTAGGTCTAACATTTAAGTCTCTAATCCATCTTGAATTAATTTTCGTATAAGGAGTAAGGAAAGGATCCAGTTTCAGCTTTCTACTTATGGCTAGCCAATTTTCCCAGCACCATTTATTAAATAGGGAATCCTTTCCCCATTTCTTGTTTCTCTCAGGTTTGTCAAAGATCAGATGGCTGTAGATGTATGGTATTATTTCTGAGGACTCTGTTCTGTTCCATTGGTCTATATCTCTGTTTTGGTACCAGTACCATGCTGTTTTGGTTACTGTAGCCTTGTAGTATAGTTTGAAGTCAGGTAGCGTGATGCCTCCAGCTTTGTTCTTTTGACTTAGGATTGTCTTGGAGATGCGGGCTCTTTTTTGGTTCCATATGAACTTTAAAGCAGTTTTTTCCAATTCTGTGAAGAAACTCATTGGTAGCTTGATGGAGATGGCATTGAATCTATAAATAACCTTGGGCAGTATGGCCATTTTCACGATATTGATTCTTCCTATCCATGAGCATGGTATGTTCTTCCATTTGTTTGTGTCCTCTTTTATTTCACTGAGCAGTGGTTTTCATCTCACACCAGTTAGAATGGTGATCATTAAAAAGTCAGGAAACAACAGGTGCTGGAGAGGATGTGGAGAAATAGGAACACTTTTACACTGTTGGTGGGATTGTAAACTAGTTCAACCATTATGGAAAACAGTATGGCGATTCCTCAAGGATCTAGAACTAGATGTACCATATGACCCAGCCATCCCATTACTGGGTATATACCCAAAGGATTATAAATCATGCTGCTATAAAGACATGTGCACACATATGTTTATTGTGGCACTATTCACAATAGCAAAGACTTGGAATCAACCCAAATGTCCATCAGTGACAGACTGGATTAAGAAAATGTGGCACATATACACCATGGAATACTATGCAGCCATTAAAAAGGATGAGTTAGTGTCCTTTGTAGGGACATGGATGCAGCTGGAAACCATCATTCTTAGCAAACTATCACAAGAACAGAAAACAAACACCGCATGTTCTCACTCATAGGTGGGAACTGAACAATGAGATCACTTGGACTAGGGAAGGGGAACATCACACACCGGGGCCTATCATGGGGAGAGGGGAGGAGGGAGGGATTGCATTGGGAGTTATACCTGATGTAAATGATGAGTTGATGGGTGCTGACCAGTTGATGGGTGCAGCACACCAACATGGCACAAGTATACATATGTAACAAACCTGCACGTTATGCACATGTACCCTAGAACTCAAAGTATAATAATAAAAATAATAAATAAATAAATAAAAAAGAAAATATTAATCTCTATGTACATTTTCATCAGAGCTCTTGGTTGACAGGTACATTGTCAATGAGCAATAATATCTTGAAATAAATGCTTTTTTCTCAGCATTAAGTCTCAACAGTGAGTTTAAAATATTCAGTAAGCCATGCTGTCAACATATGTGCTGTGATCCAGGCTTTGTTGTTTCATTTATAGAGTACAGGCGGAGTCGATTTATCATAATTCTTCAGTATCCTGGGATTTTGTGAATGGTCAATGAACATTGGCTTCAAATTAAAGTGACCAACTACATTAACCCCTAACAAGAGTCATCATGTCCCTTGAAGCTTTGAAGCCAGGCATTGACTTCTCTCCAGCTATGAAAGTCCTAGATGGCATCTACTTCCAATAGAAGGCTATTTTGTCTACAGTGAAAATCTATTGTTTAGTGTAGCCGCCTTCATCAATGATCTTAGCTAGAACTTCTAGATAACTTGCTGCAACTTTTCCATTAGCATGCGATTCTTCACCTTACACTTTATGTTATGGAGATAGCATCTTTCCTAAAACCTCATGAAACAAATCTGCTAGCTTCTAACTTTTCTTGTGCAGCTTTCTCACCTCTTAGCCTTCATAAAGTTGAAGGCAATTAGAGTTAGGGCCTTCTTTAGGTCAGATTTTGGCTTAGAAAAATTTTGTGGCTGGTCGTATTTTCTATCAAGACCAGTAAGTCTTTCTCCATACCACCAATGAGGTTGTTTGGTTTTCTTATTACTCAAGTGTTTGACTGAGTGGAACTTTTAATTTCTTTCAACAACTTTTCCTTTGCATTCAAACTTGGCTATTTGGCATGAAAAGCCTTGTTTGTGACTCATCACAGTTTTTAACATGCCTTCCTTACTAAGCTTAATTATTTGTAGCCTTTGTTTTAAGGTGAGAGATATGCAACTCTTCCTTTCACCTGATACTTTAGAGATCATTGTAGGTTTATTAATTGGCCTAATTTCAATATTGTTGTATCTCAGGAATGGGAAAGCCTGAGGAAGGGGAGAAGCCGTGGGAAGAGCCAGTTGGTTGAGCATGGGAACACAAACATACATTGATTACGTTCATTATTTTATATGGGCATATTTTGCAGTGCCCCCAAACAACTACAATGGTAACATCAAAGATCACTGATCACAAGTCACCATAATAGAAATAACAATAATGAAAAATTTGAAATATTGCAGGAATTACCAAAATGTGACATAACAAGTGCACACATGCTGTTAAAGAAAATGACACCAAAAGACTTGCTGGATGCAGGTTTCCACAAAACTTCAATTTGTAAAAGCAAACAAACAAAAGCAAAAGACTATGAAGCAAAATAAAGTGAAGTGGAATAAAATGAGGTATGGCTGTATAGCAATTAATGAAAGCATTTTCTTAAGTTAGTAATAGATTACATTTAGTGAATGCTTAAAAATATTTTTATAATAAATTCAACTTGAAGCTAGTTGTCACCTAGATATGATTATATAGCCTGGTCAGCTCATTTTTCACTTTAAATCTATGCATCACATAATAGAATATTTGTACAATTTCCTTGTGACATTTACTTAGGAGTTGGGATTTATTTTCTGTAAAGATAACTTTCATGTTAAATGGTCAGCTTATATGCAAATATTTTAAATTTTCTCAATCAGTTCTATCTCTATAGAGCTCATAATTAATGTTCATAAGGCAGATTTAATTAAGAGGATGCCAAAGAAGTGTATGTGGGACGTGAGTGATTTGGGAGTAGGATTGTTTTCTATGTGCATTTCAAGTTTGTAATTAAGCAAAATAGCTTTGGATAGAGAAATGATTTAGTGTCCTTAACCAAACACCCACGTTTTTAAACAAATTGTAATTTGCATATTCTAGGTAATTTGCATTTGAGAGCCTGTACTTTGAGTTCTGTACTAGGCTATTTGAATTCAGGTAAGTGGGCAGGCAAATAGCACAATGTATCAATTCTTGTGATTAAAAATGAGCAGCCAAAGACTGTTTATAAAATGCCCATGAACTTTTATGGTGATCTACCAAGGGTCATGCTGGCTGCTGGAGGCATAATTAGTATGCTCAAAGAAAAGCCACCATGTCAGTGATAAGGATGTAATAAATGGAGGGAGGTGAAACCAAAGAAAATAATTATATTGTGGACTTCAAATTTATTATTTTATTAGAATATAAATTAAGTCACCCTGAAGATGTAGAACTTTATTACTGTATGTGATCAACTTTGATTATATGTAATCATAAGTTGCTGAGATGTTATATAATGTTTGAACTAGTATTTTTTTTCTTTAGGTTTTAATTAAACATAATCCTAATATAGAATCAACAACCAAGGCATGAAATCACACTTTAGAACATGATCAAACAAAATATGTGCATAATTAATCAGGCAATAAACATTCAATGCAATTAATTAGTACAGGCCAAAAATAAAGTCACAGGAGAATTTTAGTATAATTTTAAGTACTTTATATTCATAAAAATAATTTCAAAAATCGTTTTATATTTTTTGAAGTTAATCTTCAAGATCTTTTTTGGTTTGTGATCAAAAGTTTTGTAGTTTTACAAGAGTAAACACTTCCCCCTTTCCCCACTCCTTCTTTTTCTTTTTTGACACAGGGTCTCACTCTGTTGCGAAGGCTGGTGTGCAATGGCATGATCAGGGCTCATCACAGTCTTGACCTTCTGGTCTCAAGCAATCCTCCCAACACAGCCTCCTGTGAAAATGAACATTTCTGTTGTTGTTGTTTTGATGTCTCATCTGAGCCCTGTAATAAAAATGATTTGGTAAAGATAGCATCTTGCTCAACATGTAATGGTTTCACATTGCAGCTATTATGGTGAAATTCACCTATTCAGCTGACTGTATTCCTTAAGAATATACTCTCGGGAGAGACAGGCAGTTCTTTCATGAATTCACTATTCATTTACCAGCTTGTTTAACAGTGGAGAAGATAGAAACACTACCCAATTAAATACAAAATTACAATTTAAAATAATTATGATAAAATGAACGTTTCTTCTTAGATAGATCATGTCAGTGATTTTTGCATTCATCTTAAGTAATTATTATTTTTAAAATCCCTAACATGTTAGATACTCATAAAAAGAGTTTTTCTTGTGAGTAACATGTTGCTTATTTTCACAGTCTTAAACAGAAATATTTTTCATAAATGTCTGTAGTACCTTTTTTCCTTTTAGAACAGGTTTAACTTTTTCTGTATAGATGTTTTAATATTATAAATCATATTAACATATTTCAGGATTTCAGTACAGTTACTGCATTTGTAAATTTCAGTATTGCTATTATTTGCAAATTAATACATACCATTTGAAATTATTTTTTCTGACTGTGGTAGAGATTCAGGAAATTCCTAATAATTATGTACATGTATACATAAAAAGTCAGAGTTTAATTCTAGAATATTATTTATTTTATTTTGTTTCATGAGAGAACAAAACTGGAGTCTTGGTTATTTATTTATTTCTTTTAATGTTAAATTTATATTTTGCAATTCAGTGTGACAGTTACAAATAGCTTATTTAGAATATCACAAGATCATTGGCGATACTTGTTAACTCTAGGGAAAGATTTTAATACTCTTCATTTAATTATAATCACCATAATATTCTCTAAATATATTGGGATGCTGGATTAAGTATTTATTGGGAAAATTGATAAGTAACATTATTAAATAATGTTTTAAATATTTCCTATTAAATACATACAAATGATGAAATAATTTTGATCTCGTTTTCATCCCTTTCTCCTGTCAAACCTTCCAGCTATTTTTATTTGTTGTACTTTACTTTTCTATCTCCAGCTGTGATTTGGAACCCATTCAGAAAGTTGAAAAATTATAATGATCTCTCATGCATTTATAGAAACAACTGAATATGTTTATTAGAAAATAAAAGAATGGAATTGTCAATTTAACCAGAACTATAGCTATGAATATCACTGTGAAGAATAAAAGCTTTTGTTTCACTCAACAAAAGCTCACAATACTTTTTTTTTTTTTTTTAATGAAGAGTTTCTGTCCTCAGAAAGCATTGAATAAATGAGTGCTATCTCAAGTAAAAGGCATTTGTGATAACTTCAGGTATAATTGTCATCTATTTTCCTGTATCTAGTTTCTTATTTTTTTCTCATTCTTCCCCATTTATATTCCACTCTTTCTATAAAAGTAGAATTTAACCTGAACACTCCTCGAAGTACTCAAAATCATGTGTAAATTCAGCAAGGCAATAAGTTAACCTCAAAATAAAAGTATCAACTATAGAAGTGATAGGGATTTTTAAATAAATTCTATGGCAATTTTAGTAGAGAAAGTAAAAAACAAAAACAAGAGACTGTCTTGTGTGAAGTAATATTTATAATCTGATCTGAAGAACTGAACATTCGTATCACAAACTCTGGCAGTTTCTCTGACCACCTGACTTTATATTCAACCTCTTTCAACACTTGAATAGGCATCACAAAATTAATACATCCCAAAATGATTTCCCAATACTCTTTTCAAAAAGAACCTATTTCTTTCACAATATTTTACATCTTAGTAAATGACAACTTTGTTCTTTACAGGTGCTCAGGCTCTTTCTTTCTCACTCCCCATGTAATTTATCAGCAAATACTGTAAATGTTCTCTTCAAAATATATCCAACACCTATTACTTTTCACTGCTCCATCACTACCACACAGTTTCACATTGTTCTCCATCTTCTCTATAATTTCTTCCCAACCAATCTCTGTGATTCTCTCCCAGTCTCATCTAGCAGCTATAGGGCCCTTTAGAAACATAAGACAAATGACAATATTTCATTTTTCCTTTTTGTGACAACATTAAGTGAAATAGCCCAGGCACAGAAAGACAAATACCATATGTCCTCACTCATATGTGGAATCTAAAAGGTTTCATGCCATAGAAGCAGAGTAGAATGGTGGTTACCAGAGTCTGAGGTAGTTAGGATAGGTGGGGGAAGGGGAGACGTTGGTTACAGAACATATAATTGTAGTTAAGTAGGAGGAATAAGTTCAATAGATCTATCATACAGCATGGTGACTATAGTTAATGACAATACTATATTCTCAAGAAATGCAAACATAATAGATGTTAATTAAGTCTTCTCATCATAAAATTGGTAATTATGTGAGGTAACACATTTGGTAATTAGCTAGATTTTACTGTTTCACAATGTATATATACTGCAAAATGTTGCATTGTACATGATACATATATACAATTTTGTCTGTTAATTTGATAAATACATATATAAACAGGCATATCATGTAATTCGTTTTCACAAACCCAATGGAGCTCCCAGTTCGTTCAGAGACAAGATCTTCTAATCATTAATAATGTCCTACATGGTCACTCTGAACTCAACTTTTTGACATTCTCCTCCTCATCCACTTTTTCCCTACCACAACCACCTCTCAATTCTTACAACTCACCTAAGCAACATTTCTGTTATGAGCCTTTCCAGCAGATCTTTTCAATGCCTGAAGCTTCTTCCCTCACACCTCCCTATGACATACTGCTTGCTTCTTTCAACTTTCTGCACAAATCTCAGTCCCTCAGTAGACCTTTCCTAACTTTATTTAGCAGCCCACATATATTTTCTCTTGCTTTCCCTTCCTGATTTTCTTCCTGTATTTTCATCCCAATATGAAAATTCCATGAGGGAAGGAATTTTTCTATTTTATTCACTGCTATATGTGCTGTTCTTAGAAAATGTCTAATTATACAAGTGTTCAGTAAATACATATTGAATAAATGAAAATGTTTATATTTTAATGACACAAAGGTAACCTTAAAGAAAATAATCCAAGAAAAGTAAGAGTTTTCACAACACTGTTTTACCTTCCTATTATTCTCACAGTAATTAACTACAGAGAATTACTTATAAATATATTTGCTGCTCTAAGATTTTTATGTCATCTTGACAGCAAGATAGATACTATGAAAATAGAGGAAAGAAAGAAGTTGGGCTTAACTAATGTAAAGCAATCTAATGATAAATGTAGTATAAATGAATTTTAAATTTAAAGGATATCATTTAAAAAATATAACATGTTGCCTTAGCCATACTCTAAGAAAGATAGTGAACAACTGAAATCACCTGTGATTGACTACATGCTGTTTTAGGGATCTATTTTTCTCTGTAGTCAGTCTTTTTATTTTTCAATATTAAATACAAACCAACATATTTAAGGTCCAAAAGAGATTTGTCATTGCTTATTTTTCCTCCGCATGTCTCTATTTAGTTCCCTGTGAGAATTTAAGTATTGTAAACATATTTTGAAGTAAACTTTCAATCATATATGTGTCAACTTTGCATCATTGATCATTTGGAAGATTTTTAAAGAGTGGCAGAAATTATAGTTACAGATAGTCTAACTCAAAGTGAGAAGAAAAGAGTAATTCTTTTTATTTTTTAAATTAAATTGAGATATCAAAAAGAACTAAGAAACTAAAATTTAAAATACAATGGCACTTATGATATACTATTTTATATATCCTATACTTTGTTGAGACTTTCTATTCAACAAATTTACTTTAGACTTTTCTAGGAAGCATTTTTCTGTCTATTCCCATGATGAAAATTTCATCAGATTTCCTTAGGGATTTGAATTCTTAATCGGAGAATTCCATGTGAAGTGATATGGAAAGATCTCCAGGATTATTTAAAAAACAAGCAAACAAACAACAACAAGAAAAAAACTTCACAACAATGTGTACAGGATGCAATATTTTATGTAAGAAAAGGAAAAATAAGGCTATGTATTTGCATATCACTTGCATGAAGACACTAAAAGGATACTCAAAAATAACAAAAGTGACTTGCTATGTTTGAAAAGGGATTAAAGTCTATAGGAGCAGAGGGGGAGACAAATATATCAGTGGATAATTTCTGTACCATTTAACTTTTAAAACAAATGAATATATGACTTAAAAATAATTTTAACTGCCCTCAATATAATATTATATACTTTCTCTTGATTCTGAACACGTTGGATTCTGATACACTTTGAAAAAGTCGATTCTGATACACTTTTGAAAGATGTAACTAAATAGCTCTTCAATTTACTGTATTATAATTGTTTATAGTCATAATATCCTGCTTGGACCAGGGCAGTGGCATGAAGCCCAGCACAAGAAGTAACTTAGTGGAATTTCTTACTTTGTAGTTGATAGATAAGACATATCAGTGACTCAACTGTCTTTACTAATTAATTGAAAACTAATATAGCCAGAATACTGTGATAGTATTAATATTTGAAAATGAACACATCTAAAAATGAACTGTGACTATTGTAATTTTTTTAGATAAAGGATAGAGAGAAGACAGAACTTATCAGTGAATCATAAAAGAAAAACTTATGAAATAGTTGACTTTTTTTTTTTTAATATTCAACAGGGTGATTCACATGACCCTTTAAGTGAAGATGCACACTGCTTCTCACTTTTTGCCACTAAAATAGGACAGGTTTTATCTCTGATTTGGAAATTCATGAAATTACTTTCCTGTAAAACAACAGAAAAAATGATACAGAAATATAGCTGAATGTATAGGCTACAGTTTGGCAGTAGTGCACGTAGTGTAATTTTCAACAAAGAGTATTTAACCGCCATGAACAGCAGATAGTTCTTATTTGATGTTCAGAGAATAAAGAGAGAATGATATTCAGAGAAGTATGAATTAAATTTTTGAAAAAGACAGATTATTTTAAAAGATCATTTAAAAAGAGTAGAAATTGGAA